GCCTGCGAAACCCTGTGTCTCCACCACTGTTTTCAGACTATTTTTGGCACCTTAGCCTGGTTGAAAAATTTTGTTGGGGGTGACATTGTGTCACCCCTCCTGTGCTGGCACCCGGGGCGGTCCGCCCCACTCGCCCCCCGTTAGCTACGCCACTGCTACTATTCTTAAAAGAGTGCTCAATACAGAGTAGCGCAAATAATACTTATTCAAAAAATATAACTTATGCAAGTTATAGCATCACGACAAAAATATCCATTTTGTTTCAATACTTCTGGTGTCTTGTCAAGTGATGGTGTTGAGTGCAAAATAAAGGGTTTTAACTTAAAACTTTGAAGAGTTCAAAACCAACGAAACCGCTTCAATAGAGGTAACATTATTGCGTAACCTATGATGACCAATACATCAAGTATATGATAATTCAAAATAACTTGACAACAAACTCTAAATACAATCTATTATTGTATTAAAATTAAGATTATATTAAATTAGAAATCAATAAAACTAATTTAATTTTAATTTCAGAGTAAAATTAAAAAATACAAATATCAAATTCTAAATTTAACCGAGAATCAAGTTTAAAATTATTACGAAATTATTCAAAAATGAAACAGGGAATATATATATATATATATATATATATATATATATATATATATATATATATATATATATATATATATATATATATATATATATATATACCTACGTTCAATAACCCCTTAGGTTTTAGTAGCTTCATTGCTTTGATTGGGGTGAAACGATTTTTTGAAAAATAATATTTACACTATGTATATTTGGACCATTGCCCTGGTCTTTAATGTTTTTATCACAACATTTCGACCGTTGTGTCCTCCGGCCTTCCTCAGCTGTATGTCGATCCGGGTAACATACAGGGAATTCTGAACTGAGCCCTTTATATAATCTATGGCCGTAGAGACTGTTCTGTTATCGTCTAGTTTCTCCTACGGCTAGTGGATTAACGCATTGCTTCGTGAATTTTTAGTGACATTGGAGTTGTGAGTTCAATCCATGTGTCGGGCAGTGTGTACTTTGACTAAGTGAGAACAGGCAAGCAATAACTGAGCAGTACTATAAACAAGAACTTAAAGACATGGACAGTCTTCCCCCGTAGATTAAATAAAGGGTTCAGTTCAGAATTTCCTGTGGGTTACCCAGATTGATACACCTGAAGAAGGCCGGAGGGCACAAATGCCGAAACGTTGCGATAACAACAATGAAGAAGACAATACACCGAATATAAATAATGTAAATAATGATACACTCATTTCAGAAATTCAAACAAAAAAAAAGATTGATTTTTAATAGACTTAAAATTGTCATCATTTTTTCACTTTTCAGTCAATATGGCTGAACGATGATAAATTTTTAAACATTACTTATAAACCTTATTGAAATGCATGAAATTATTTTTCTTTTTCTATAGATTAGATTAGCTTTAGGTTATTTATTATCTTAAAAAATGTACTTAAACGGGAGACATTTAAAATAAATTGTTTTGAATTTCATTTTTTTTAAGGATTTTTATCTCGAATTTTGACGGTTCTTTTAGTGGATTTTCCTGAAAAGTTGTCTTAATCTGTTTCAAAAAGTGTGTGTCTGCTAGGATATGGTTCAGGTTAATCCATCATACATTTCTTAAATAATTTTAGAGAAGTAGGTTGCGTTTGTCGAGCCTTAAAAAAATAAGAACCTTTTTTTTAAAAGAAAGGGATATTTAAATTTTTAAAATTTTATGAAAAGTAATTCCAAAATCACAGGAAAAAGAAAAGCAGTTTATGATTTCATAACCTTGAACGTTTAAAATTTTATTTAATTTCGTTTATAATAATAAATGTCAAATTTTATTTTTATCCGAGTTCATTGTTTGATTGTCTGTCAACTTGATTTTACTGTTTTGATTTTTGAACAAATACGTGTTTCATACAAGTTAAGTATCAACCATAAATGTGGGGTATGAATGCCTTGTGAAAACTGACAACGTAGTAAAAAAATTTTTTTTTTTTTTAAATCTTGATTCTTTTTAAAAACCCTAACTAGTCAAAAGTAGTATTCATATTCATTGCTGTAGAGAATTTTCGAAGATATTTGAACTTGAATAATGGTAATACAGTATAACCCGGATATAAGAGACCCGGATATAAGAGAAACCCGGATATAAGAGAGATTTTCTCTGGTCCCAAATTAGAGCCTGTGTTACCTAAACAAAATAGACCAAACCCGGATATAAGAGAAACCCGGATATAAGAGAAACCCGGATATAAGAGACTTCTTCTCCGGTCCCGACAACTCTCTTATATCCGGGTTACACTATACCATTTTGAAGAGTATCTCCAACGAAATACTTTTGTCGAAAAATATTAAAATTTTTCTTACTTTTACAGACTTAACGAACATAAGATCACAAATTTGTGCCTTGAAAAGAAAAGTACAGGTTTAATTCGTTGAATTTTATTTTAATTAAACGTTAGTGTCAAGGTTTTCTTGAATCGGCAAAAAAAAATCACAACAGCTAAGAAGCCGCTATCTGATGGCAAAAAAAGACTTCTTGGGTGTTAAACTGAATAATTGAAAAAAAAAATCTATTAAAAAATGCAAATCATCGTAAAACATCAAGACAATTTTATGAAAAATAGTTATTTTATTAAGCTCTATTCGATTTAACTTTGCCAAAATGTTTCCCACATAAATGCATTTTATAACGTAGGTGTCTCTCTTTTGCTAGGAGTGAAAGGTCAATGATTCAATTGAGATAAGTGATGAGGTGCACGGCGATATCACGACAGCAGCAATTCCTGTTGAGCTCTGTACTTGAACGGTTTCCCTTAGTAAATACGGTGACCCGTAATGGAAACCAATATTTATTTATTTGTTTTATAAAAATGCTGTTTTTCTGTAATTTTTTTTGTTGTTGATCAGATTTTTTTTATCAATAACAATCATTCATTTTAGAAAGATAATTATGAAATACATTTTGTCACACGGAATGCTGATTATAAAGAATTAAGAAAAATTCAATCAATATTTTTGGGCTCTCGAGTAATAAAAATAGTTTTGAAAATGATTATTATATTTAAAAAAATAAAATTTTCACTGGGAAAATTTATTTAAGCAAATTTTTATTTTTAAAATAGAAAATATGCTATAGCTCATACACAGGTAATTTATATACAAAAATATTTACATAGGTAACATCAGAAAAAAGTTTACCCATCCTGGGTATGACAATAAACTACATTTGGCAGCAAGGCCTCTCAGGAGGTTGTGAGGAGAATGAAATCACCTCTTAATTGATGTTGTTCTCAGATCAACCCTAACCTGGGGTGGTGGCACCTGCTAGGATCCCAGCTATGGGCAAATAGTTAACACCCAAAATAGCTCAAAACAGTATAAAAATTTTGTAGCAAAAATACCACAATACATTTTCATAGTAAATTAATTACCAATACATTTTTGTAAAAAAATTTAAAAAAAATTATCAGCAATATATTTTTGCAAAAGAAATTACTAATGCTCCCAAGAAGATTCAAGTTTGGCATTAAATGACCCATAATGTGTTTATATGCCACTAAGCAAACAAATAAATAAATAAATAAAAAGTTTTGCATAGAAGGCAAAATATTTCAAATGTTTTGTATGCAAACATGAGAAATAAATGCACTTTCTAAAATTCTATTAGTTTGATCTAAAAATTTTAAAAATTCAAAAATTTTTTAAAATTTAAAAATTCTATTTGTTTAATCTAAAAAAATAAAATGAAAGTTGAAGAACTGTAGCACAATGTATCTTTGCTTTTGTGAGAATGAACAACGGAAAATCAGAAATGTTATGACTGTACAACCATAGTTAATAATAATAACCTGTCAACAGCAATGTAATATTTTAAAAATTATTTTAAGAATAGTTCCAGAGAATATTTTCCAAATATCTTTGTATATTTATTTATTAAAGGACATTAAGTTTTATAAAAAAAAACCATACATTGGTACACCTTTTGAAATAATAAATAAAAAATTTTAAAATATGATATTATTAAATCACTATTTTAGAAAATTATTTAAATGATCTTTGTGAAAATATCAGAGAAAAGTCTGGTTCTTTTTTATATATAGACAAAAAACAGGTATAAGTTAAAAAAAACTAAAAGAATAAATTTTCAAAAATGGCATTATTTTATTTTATGTTTATTTTTGAAAAATTTTGGACTAAGCTATTTGTACTGATTTTTTTCAGGCTTCTGATTTTTCATTTTTTCTGTATTCATTTTTCAAGGGCTTGTCTTTTAAAAATGTAAACCTCAATGTGATACCCCTTGATACACAACTGAAAATCCTCAAATTAATAAAGTGTAGTGCAGCTCTATGAAAAAAAATTGTCTTTAAGATTTTGAAAAAAAAACAGCTTTAAAAATATACTCACTTTTACATAAATGCAAAAAGTTTTATTAAACTTCAATAATTAAAATGAATTTGAGAAGATTTTAAAAATATCAACTTTTGTTTACAAGCCCCAAAAAGGTAATTATAGTAACAATGTTTCACAAAGTGAATATTTTTAAATGATAGTATTTCAAATTTTGCTTAAAATCTAAAAATACTATTTATACTGATTTTTTCAGATTTTGATTATTAGAAAAAAATGAATAATAGCCAGTTGATAAAAACCATAAGGATATGCCCCAGGATATCAGGACGTTCTTTGGACTTGATAAGTGTGCAGTGTTGGAAATGAAGAGGGAAGAAAGGTGAATAAATGTGTACTGAATGAAAAGGTTATTGTGGAGACAGAAAAGGCCATTGTGGAGACAGAAAAGGTCATTGTGGAGACAGAAAAGGCCATTGTGGAGACAGAAAAGGTCATTGTGGAGACAGAAAAGGTCATTGTGGAGACAGAAAAGGCCATTGTGGAGACAGAAAAGATTATTGTGGAAATAGAAAAGGTCATTGTGGAGACAGAAAAAATTATTGTGGAGATAGAAAAGGTCATTGTGGAGACAGAAAGGTCATTGTAGAGACAGAAAAGGCCATTGTGGAGACAGAGAAGGTCATTGCGGAGACAGAAATGGTCATTGTGGAGACAGAAAAGGTTATTGTGGAGATAGAAAAGGTCATTGTGGAGACAGAAAAGGTTATTGTGGAGACAGAAAAGGTCATTGTGGAGATAGAAAAGGTCATTGTGGAGATAGAAAAGGTTATTGTGGAGATAGAAAAGGTCATTGTGGAGACAGAAAAAATTATTGTGGAGATAGAAAAGGTAATTGTGGAGATAGAAAAGGTAATTGTGGAGACAGAAAAGGTAATTGTGGAGATAGAAAAGGTCATTGTAGAGACAGAAATGGTCATTGTGGAGATAGAAAAGGTCATTGTGGAGACAGAAAAGGTCATTGTGGAGACAGAAAAGGTTATTGTGGAGACAGAAAAGGTCATTGTGGAGATAGAAAAGGTCATTGTGGAGATAGAAAAGGTTATTGTGGAGATAGAAAAGGTCATTGTGGAGACAGAAAAAATTATTGTGGAGATAGAAAAGGTAATTGTGGAGATAGAAAAGGTATATTATGATAGATTATGTTGGTAGAGGAGAATCTATGATGAGAAAGTCAATGCAGAAATTTCTTTGCATGGAGCATTTGCACAAGGAACCCAAGAAGTGGTATATCCAGAATCATGGCACTAACTCAGAAATAGATTCTTGACTGAAATGATGATATATGTAGTGCAAGATCAGGCTTTAAGAACAAATTCTATCAAGTATGCTATTAATAGAACAGATAATTTACCATTGTGCAAGCTCTGTATGTGTGCAACACAATTGTCAATGTCTACCAGGGTAGGCTCAAGGTACTGGTAACTAGGGAAGTCACCTGGAGTGCCATCATGGCTGAGGGCATCATCATGCAGCTTTATCATGGTAGTTTTCTAAGTGTATCTTAGATGTGGCACAAGGCTGAAATTATGGGGCACTCAATGAGGATCAAACTCACTATTCAGTTGTAATTGATCTAATGAGGAAAGCTTGCTAACTATTACACCACATTGAAGTGCCCATGCCAGTATGTCATGTGTTTGGGATCATACTTGTGGTCATCCATGACTCAAGACAGATTAAATTCTTTGGCTATTTTGTCCATAGAAAAAGATCATGTAAAGAAGATAAGTACCATGAAAAGATTTGCAGATCTAAAGGCTTGAAAAAAATTGTTTTAGGTTGGATAATGAATGTTTTCTTTAGCTTATATTAAATTGTATATTGTCATAAACTCATTATTCTACATTTTCAGTTTTTTTCCTTGTAAAAATGTTAAAAAATTATACTTTTGAAGGCATCGAAGTTCAGCTTGCCCAGGGTGCCAGCAACCCTAGTGTTGTCACTGGTGATTGCATTTATCTAACACAAAAGAGTACAAACAACACTATGTGAAAGTAGCCCTCAGAATACATTGGAAATAATGCAGAAAGTATGACCTTAAGTGTGCAGAAATTACAAAGGTTATAGCATAGTTTGCATGCAATGATATACATAAGAGCTGTACATTACAACTGGACAGAAAACTCAAGATCAAAACATTCAGAGCCGCTGTTGAGCTGATTCTGCTCTATGGCATAGAGACATGGACACTCTCTAAAGGTATGAAGAAATGCCTGGATGGAATCTACGCCAACCTTCTGATGAGAGCTCAAAACCTCTCTTGGAAACGCCACCCGACCATCCACAAAATCTACTGCATTATTCCCCATGTTTACTCTCTCATACAAGCTCGTCAAGCGCAGTTTGCTGGTCATTAACACCATGTTGAGAATGAGGTTGTCTCCTCTCTTTTACTCTGGAAGCCTGCATCAAACCTGACTAGGGGCAGAAAACTATCATTCTCTGATGTCATCTCAAGGGATGCAGGCATTGTTAGGCAAGACTTGGGGACAGCGATGAAGGACTGTGAAGTCAGGCATAGTGTACTTCATGATCTTGACTGCAGTTGATATATGATGATGATGATGATGTGTAAAGATGAGCTACAATCATTCACCATTGACAGTAGCCAAGAATGAGCTAGTGAAATTCATATGGAAGATGACCATCTTGACTGACAAAATGCTTGGAAAGCAATTACTTATGCATAAGAACATCCATTATATTGTACCTTGAGATAAAATTATTGTGATGGTGAAAATACAGAGGTACCAATACCTGGCAGGGCAAATCAGAGATGTGGTTGGAATAATTGGTTCTATTTGTAGGAATATTTCTGCCTTATAGGACACCTTGGATGGTGGCACTAATTAGTACAACTTATGTACTGAGGAATGTGTGTTATGTCACTAAGCTGCTGCTAGGAGCTGAGATATGAGCAACATCACCTAGCCAAAACATTGAAGAGTCAAAGAGGATATATATAAAAGTGTGGAAAATTAAAACTATGATTATCCCTGTTCTGTATTTAGTATGATAAAGAAAGGTACTGAAAATCATGTCAGTACATCAGCACCTTGGTACATAGCTATAAAAGATTACTCTGTGCAGAACTGTACATATCATCTGCAAAACCCTCTCCATCTAAATGAAACAAATTTATACCTAGCATAGATAACTCTCCACTAGTCCCCTTTTTATTTATTCCAACCTTTAAGGGTCTTGGGAATTAGACACTTAAAATTATTATCTTAGAATTATTAGTAGTAGCAGCAGCAATAGTATCTTCTTAAAACAAATTCAAGTCAAAAAGATTTTTTTTTAAATAACAGTAATAATCTGAAAAAAATGAATAATACCAACATCTGGTTAGGGAGTCAAAGAAACTATGAAATATGACTGTTGAATAATTCTTTAATGTCTTCCCTTTTCATTTTCACTTCCCCACTCTCTTTCTGTCTAGTAATTCTCTCTGGTCTGAAGTTTATCATGGAGAATTATGAGATCAGTACACTTTCAATGCATTTTATTCTTTTCTCTTAAAAAAAATAAAACAAAAGAAGCAATAATATGGTGAATGAAATAGGCTAAGTTAAACATCTCAGTACACCAGAAGGCAAAATTTAAATTTAAATCTTAGCGTCTCTGTATCTTTAATATTCTCAATGTAAAATTGTAACCTGCATTTGTTGTATTTTCCCTGCCCTTCTCCCATTTTATATATAAAACTGATTAGATCAACAAAATCATTATTAGTCTGAATAAGTTCTTTCTCTGAATGCAACATATCACTAAAAAGATTTTGTTTCATTTTGTCATTTATTTACCCATTTGTTTCATGTTAAACTAAAAAAATCCATAAGTAAATAAATAAAATAGAAATAAATTAAATTAAAGTACCTAGTTCTGTTTCATTTTCAAGTGAATTTTGGAAACTTTTAATTTAGTTTAATTCTATAACTGAATTGGAAGTTTTTAGCTTCTGTTTTTCAAACATGGTAATTCCTGTGTAGCAATGGAATCATATTTTAAAAAAATAATTATAATATATATATATATATATATTTATTAAAGACATTTTTTATGTTTAATGTTGTTATTTATAGATACAAGTATTTAAGCAAATGCTCTGTTTATGATAAACAGTATTAAATAACATTTACCAGGCTGAATGTCTGAGAAATTTTCATAGAAAATATTCGTTCTTTGACAGGATTCGAACCTGCATCCTATACGGAACCGTCATTTACGCTGACGTGCCTTACCTCTGGGCCACAAAGAACCTTTTCGGTATCTAATTTTTCAATTTAAACAATTAATAACTGAATGAGATAATTTAATTATTAATATAATAATAATTTTATTAATTATTATCTCAGTTATTAAATTAAAAATGTAATAATGTAATATTGATAATTAATAAAATTATTTTTATCATTATCTTAGCTATTAAATAATGAAATACCATTATAGAGGTAATTCAATAATGTAAGAAAGTTTTATAGTATTTCAAATTATTATAAGAAACAACTTTAAATTTGCTAATTTTATGAAAATTTTTACTATGTTACTAAAACATTGAAAACCAAAAAGAATAAATAAATATATTAAAAATAAATAAAAAAAAGTAAAATAAATTAATCCAAATAAATAAATAAATAAACAAACTACTCCCGCCAAAATAACCATTAGAATGGACCACCCACAATACACCACTGACCTGTATAAATAAACAGTTGAGAAAAAACCCAACACAACACGTTGCCTGATGATTGTGTCTAGCATGAAACAGCCTGTCACATTTGTATGTTAACTTCAATGTTCACTTTTATATTTACATACACTCTCTCTTTCTGATATTGAGGACTTTATCCCATAAATATAGCATACCTTAAAACTATATTTCTTCATATTTACATATATATATATATATATATATACTAGCAGTAGAGCCCGGCGTTGCCCAGGGATGTAACAGTAAGAGATAGATCAAGTATCAACCATCATAAAGACTGAAAAATAAAATTGACAAAGATTATTGTTTAAGGTTGATAGACACGCATGTCTTAATTAATTTTTTTTTTGTTTTTTGGATTTTTTTTACGAATTGGTTGGTAAAACTCAAACAAAAATATTGTTTTTCAATTGTTATGAGTCTACCAATTGAATAGAATTTTATTATAAACAATTGTCTTGTAAATGGAATTTTAAGGCATTCTGAATGTAAAAAATCAAAAGAAAAAAGTGTGCAAGACAATAAGAAACACTACCTGTCAAAAAAAGTGAAGTTTTGTTGAAATCGGTTGAAAAATGTAGGAAATCCGATCCCATATATAATGAATACACAAACACACACACACACACACAAACAACCTGGGTTTTATAATAAGTATAACTCAATATGAGTTGTCCCTTTCATTCTCAAGGATGCCTCTTAATCATGTTTTCAAATTGATTTTGAAAAAAACAATTGTGATTTTTCCAATTTTGGGCACTATCAGAACCAGCAAGGTAATTTCCACGTAGTCCTGTGAAGTTTTATTTTGATTGAATTTGAAAAATGTAGGAAATCTGATCCAATATATAAACGTACAGACACACACACACATACACACAACCTGGGTTTTATATTATATATGATATATATATATATATATATATATATATATATATATATATATATATATATATATATATATATATATATATATATATATATATATTTTTTTTGAACAATAAAAAATATTAAAAAATTAAGGTTTTCAGACTCACTGGTTTGTATATTAATATTTTTTCATGTTATTATTTCAATTAGATTCCTTGAGTAGTTTTGGCCAGCATGGCCACCATCAGTAAAAAAAATTTTCTGCTTGTTAGTAGCAGTGAATTACAGAAATGAATGACTTGAGAAAATGAACTTTTGTCTCCAGTTTTCATTTGTTTTTTTTATTTATTTTTTTATCATAAATTTTGGTCAGACCTTGTGTTGGTCAAACAGTCTCTTTTAAGTTGTTATTTAATATAAGTGCTGGATGGATTCATGCTGTTCTGAATTCCCTTGGTCATTGAATAATATAGACATATT